CCATTTTCTTTTTTTCTATTTTTTAAATGTTTATGTATTTTTGAGAGAGAGACACAGAGTGCGAGTGGGGGAGGGGCAGAGAGCGAGGGAGACACAGAATCCGAAACAGGTTCCAGGCGCTGAGCTGTCAGCACAGAGCCTGACGCGGGGCTCGAACCCACAAACCATGAGATCATGACCTGAGAAGTCGGACGCTTACCCGGGTGCCCCTGCCCGTTTCCAATAGTAGATCTGTAAGCTACAGGAACTGCTTTCAAGCGAGGAGTTTAAGTACCTTCCCAGATCATGCTGGTTGAGTGATGGGTGCAGGAGCGATATAACAACAGGGACAGCTGCTGGAGAGGGGAGCCCTGTCACTGCCCCCCCGGGCTATGACCCCTGCTGTCAGCAAGGGCAGGCAAGGAGAGCAGGCTTAGCAATGGCAGCTACTTCCAGATCATTCTCCATTGGGCTTAGCCATGGCCATTCCCATTAGAGGGCCTGGTGGGGGAGGGGGAGAAAGAAGTAATGGGTTATATCTCGGCCTGTTTACTTCTCTCCCGCTTGCCCTTCGGCCGTCAGCCTTCTTCCTGCCTTTTTTCTGTTCCACCAGCTTCCCCCCGACCCTGGTCTAGCCAGAGTCTACTCACAAAGCTCTTCAAAGCCCTGGGATAAAATCTAAGCTCCCTACAAGATAGACAAAGCCCACAGCCTCTGGTCTGACTTCTCTCTGGACACCCGGAGACAGACAGACACCCAGACGTCCTCTTCCCCCCTCACCAACGGAATTCCTTTCAGTTCTTTGGGCTCCACGCTTCCTCACCCCCGGCCCTGTCCACTGCTGTATCTTCTCCTTTGAATACTCACCATCTTCAGACCTGGCCAAGTCCTTTTCATACTTCGGGTCCTAGCAGAAAGGCATTCTTCCAGTTATCCTCGCCACAAGTCCCTGCACTCTGTGCTTCTCACTCGTAGGGCTGGCCATGCTGTATCTTCCTTGCCCAGTTGCTCAGCCATCAGCCCAGCCGGGGCATCTTTGTGGGGACAGAGATGTGGGGACCGCACCCCTCCAGCAGCTGGCCCTTTGCTTGGCTCGTGAGTGACTGAGGAGTGAATGAGGGAGTGAGGGCTGGCCCCAGGACCAGGGAGGTGCCAGAAACCCACCACATCCGTGTAATAGAACACGCATCAGCAAATGGCACACGCGGGAGAGGTCACGGGCACACCGGGCCCGGCTGCTCACACACCACATTGCCTTGTCCTCCTTCCCAAGGTCTGCCGGGGTCTTGCCTTCCCATGTTTAGCACACTGCCCTTTGCCTACTGTAACATCCACCAAGTCTGCCACTACGCCCGGAGAAACGACCGATCGTACTGGCTGGCCAGCGCTGCGCCCCTGCCCATGATGCCGCTCTCGGAAGAAGAGATCCGCCCATACATCAGCCGCTGTGCCGTGTGCGAGGCCCCGGCTCAGGTGGTGGCTCTGCACAGCCAGGACCAGTCCATCCCCCCGTGTCCACGGACCTGGAGGAGCCTCTGGATCGGTTACTCGTTCCTGATGGTGAGTCTCTCGCACGCCCGCCACCTTGCGGCACCCCTTGCCGGCCCCTTCCATCTGGACCGGGCAGCGGTTCCCTGGACTCTGTCGGGCAGACAGACAGCAACGGCACTTGTGGTCACGACGCCCGCCGCAAACCACAGCCGGTGGAGATGCGAGGTCATTCTTCGCTTCTTATCGCCGAGTGTTTTATGATTTTGCTAGGGTCCGGTAGTTGGATTGGCTTCAGCCCTCCGAGGAGGGTGGTTTAATTTTGTGTGCACGTCAGCGCGTCCCCTACTTCCCCTTTCCCCAGCAGATCTTAGTGTGCTCTTCTTGGGACAATTTCGGGAAAAATGTAAAGTTAGGTCCAGGCCTCCGTGTGTGGCCGGCCGGGTCTGGGGTGGTCTGCACGCGTCCGAGACCTAATTCTGTCTTTGTTGTCCTGATAGCACACAGGGGCTGGGGACCAAGGAGGAGGGCAGGCCCTCATGTCCCCGGGCAGCTGCCTGGAAGATTTTCGAGCAGCGCCGTTCCTCGAATGCCAAGGCCGCCAGGGAACTTGCCACTTTTTTGCAAACGAGTATAGCTTCTGGCTGACAACAGTGAGGCCTGACCTGCAATTTTCCTCGGTGCCATCACCAGACACCTTCAAAGAAAGCCAGGCCCAGCGGCAGAGAATCAGCAGATGCCAGGTCTGCATGAAATACAGCTAGAGAACCCGTAACTCGCCGCCGTGTCGCCAAGAGAAACTTCCTCGTGGGCCGGGGGGGGCCCAGGCTGTGCTAAGAGATGAATGGTGCTCATTTCAGACTCCAGCTTCAGCTGTTCCTTCTGTTTCGATGTGGTTATTCCCACCGTCCTGTCATTCTCTCCTCTGTTCGGGACAGATTAAGCAAACGCTACCCCTACGGACTTGTTCGGACCTACCAATCTAGATGAAACCCGGATATTCTTGTGTGTTTGCGGATGACGGAAGAGCTGGCTTTGTTTAAAATTATGCTAATTCACAGGAAGGCAAAGAGATGATAAAAACCAGATTACAAATGACATTACTGAAAACTTCATTCACTGGTTAATAGCACCTCCAACAATTGAAGTCAATTACTCTATAATACAGTGGGCTTCGGGATGGATTTTGTAGGAAAAAAATAAATAGGCCAACAAATGAGACTAGAAAGCAGAGATTTCCAACATTTCAAAATGATTTCCTCTGTCATCTGTTTTCCCATGTGCTTTAAATAATTGTAAAACCGTGACCCAAGGAGATGTTTAAAAAAAAAAAAAAAATCCACACAGCCAGCGTTAACAGTTCGTTTCAAAGCAGAATGAATCATTACGCCAGGAAGGACCACAGTTGCTGTATTCCGGAGATGCTACATTAGCATAAACACATCACAGAGGAACATAAAACATGTTCTCCTCTGCATTTTTCAGAGAATGGAAATGCCTACTTCGGCAGCCCTTTTGAAAAGTAGCATTTATGGGAAAAAAATATATTCAATAAGGGACGAGGAGCCTAAAAGCTATTAATGAATATTAAGGCAGTGATTCACAAAAATGGACTCCCCATTGCCGTGAACTTCCAACAGAGGGCATTTTCCCCAGTCGGGGTCCGGCTTGTCTTTGGCGTGTGCGCACTAATGGGACCGAAGCCACATGGGGCTCACTCAGGCACACGCAGCTCACACAAAGCATCCTGCTCTCTCCCCGGGAGCACCTGCGGAGCCCGCGATGGACGCTTTTCCTCCCAAACATAATGGCATTTCACACGGGGAAGTGACAGAGCCCTCATTATGCACTTGGGAGAAAATGAAGGGCCGGGTTAATTAAACTTAGGTGAGAAGATTCATTGAAGTCACAGGTCGCCCCGCCAGGAAGACATGGAAAGAAACGCAAAGCAACCTACAATTGGCGTTTCACGTTCCTGTTGTTGGTGTTTGCAGAAGCATCCTGTTTTTCCAGTTTTGAAAACATTCTTCTATCTTATGTCAGTATTATATACCAACGCAGCAGTTTGACATTTGACATTAATGCTTTCTGTAAAAGTTTAGCAGATATGTCCGTTTTTCACGAGTAGTTTTCTGAATAGCAAGGGATACATTTCCTATTCTGTAGGGATTCAGTGGTCCAATCCGAAAAATCAAAAAGCTTGTGGGAAATAAGTGATAGGAAAGCTGCCTTCCTCATTTAAAAACATGTCATGTGACAAAAGAAACTGAAGACATTTCTCATGAGAAAGGGATGCTCCTTTTCGTGCTTAGTTTCAACGCACTTAAAATAATTGAGAGAAGAAAAACTCAATTAAGATTTTGTTTAGAAGAGATGTTTTCCTTGCCAAACATTGATTAGCAATGAGCTCGTATATGTAGAACATATTTCAAATGAGTCTTGCCACGGGCTACTCCCAAGATGGCGATTTATTTTAATAGTTTCCGGTAGAAAGGAAAAAAAAAAGTTTTGTCCCATTTATTGATTGTTTTTAATCATGCTACGGCGTGTTCAATATTTTTTGAGCATCTGAAATGTAAGGCAATTTCAACCTTTTCAACCTCATTGATAATTACCGTTTCCCGTTTCCAAAGTTTTATTATATGTCCCCAAACATCAGGGCTTCTAAAATTTCATCTTCTACTTCATGCATTTGGTCTGAAAACATTTTCTGGGAACAGATAAGGGTGTAAGAATGTAAGAAACGTACCTTGCTTGCTGAAGTATTTTAAACATGTTAGGATATTATCTTAATAAGCTGGCCAAGTAAATCTTTAAAAAACAGGCTGAATTCAGTGGGCAATTTACTTGCACTGTGAGCCTGGGATTGTGTTTGAGACTTATTCACAATACCGATCTTGCAAGGGCCCCTTTCTAAATGCATCCCATTTCTGCCTTCCAATTTTGAAAAGTTATTTTAACTGGTCTAAAGGGCAAAACGATGGAAAAAATAACTCCTTGGATTAGAAGACTGTGCTTTTTTCACCTGGTTATATATCAGTGTACTTTGAAATATCCTTTCTCTGTGAAGGATGAACAAAGCTTTATGGTGGTCCTAATCCATGACTGGTGATTATCCTTATCGACATTTCCTTCCCAGGAGCCTCCCTCCCCCACCTGGGTTGGAATGCATCTAGATGGTCAAATGGGAACGGCTCTGGGTCATGCAGAGGAGGACGGGATGTTTCCTTCTGGGTTCTTATTCTCAGTGAATGGAGCCCCATCCACGCGGGTGTCCAGGGACCCAGGCCTCCATGCCATTGAGCGGTGGCTCATCCCTTCTCCACCCATATTGCCCAGACCTAAACTCGGTCACTACTTCCTGTGTGGATCGCTACCTTCCCCTCCAGCCTCAGGGTGCCTTAACACAGTCATTGTCCTCCACCCCTGCTTTTGATGGTAAACGTGTCGCAACTGATGCCACTGCTGTCAAATTCCAGTCCTTTCTCGAGATGCAGACTTGATTTTGTTGTTCTTTGGCTCAAAACTCATTCAATGACTCCCGTGCCTCTGAAATTCAAATGCCTTCCGATGGGGTGAAAGGCCTCAGGAGCTGCCCGCGGCTCACCTGGACCCCAATCACAGAGGCGTGTGCCTAGCTCTGTAACCTTGCTCCTGCTCTTTCTCCCAATGGCATCCCCACGCAGGTGAGTTTACCTGGCACACAACTGCTTCCTTAAAGACTGAATTAGCTGGAGGGGAGGGGCGTGTGTGCATTTCCCCAGGGAGACTTGGGCTCCCTTCCGCTGCTCCCGGTACAACGAATGGGCCTGGCCACTCTCATGTTCCCTCCTCGCTCCCGTAAGGTCTCCTCACTCTTCCTCCATGCTCTTGCTAAAGTGCGAGCCCCTCGAGGGCAGGACCATGCTTTCCTCAACTTTGCCCAGTGTCTATACACAGCAGGGTACGCTACTGATCATTCTGTTTTCAGCGACAGTTCAGTATCATTTGGTGTTAGATCCACGCGCGTAGACTTCTCCTGGACAAAATGGTGACAAGCATAAGCCATGTCTTATTTCAGAAAATTTGAATTTGGCAGCATATCTGCACACCCACAATCTCCTCTTCACAGTTAGTGACAGAAAAGCCAACTGATAACCTTTGACCACTATCCCCTCCTGAAATACAGCTCACGTTTCCAAACTGAAATGGCAGGAATGGCAAGATTCGTGGGATTCGGCCGAGAGAAGGCTCTTCATTGAAATGCAAAAAGACTTAACTCGTGCTGTAAACTGTATTCCCTCATCATACAAGACCTTCCTAGTACAAGATCACATCTGTGAAGTTTGGGTACATGTTTTTGGTGCTTAGGAAAATAGTCAATGGAGTGGTCCACTAAAACTGGATTTTATCAGATTTTATTTTGAGCCTCTTATGGATTGTAATAGAGCAAACCATTCTGTGTGTTCCAGGAAATTACATTAGATTTGTGTTTCTGTCAGCTCACCGAATGACTCTGATAATTTTTACTTTTATTTGGGCTGGCTGCAAGAATAGGGGGAATATGTGGACTTGGGAGTTGGTTTGAATCTGACTCTGTCACTTTCCCACTGTGTCACCCTGGGCGAGTTACACCTATTCTCTGTGCCCCATTTTCCTCATTTATAAAATGGGACATAACGCCTATTCTTGCATTGGAAATGAAGTTCGAGTATATGTCTAGTGCATAGCAATCATTGTGCATTTATTCTGGTCACATCTACTTAACACAATTTAATACAAAAAAAACACAACATTTTTTGGGTTTTTTTTCCATAGAATTGTATTATGATTTTTACAGGGTACATTAATTACTGATTAGAATTACTTGTATCTGACCAATTCTTTGTGTCTTTGGGAATGTTATTTTATTTCAGTTCTCAAAGTTACTGTCCCCCCACCCCCACCCCACACAGACACACTCAAAACCACAATTTCCTACAGGCAGTAGGGACATTATCAGGAAGTTCTGCAGGGAACAAAACAATTGACATTAAAAATCAGTACTCTGCAATTGTCACTGTTATTATCTGCCAAAGACTCTGCATAATGCGTTTTAAACCACGAAGGCTGGCTGCCACATCCACGTGAAATGCTTGAATTTTATGGTGCTTAAATATTTAATGATTCATAGGACAAAATGTGAGATGTGTCCAATAAATTGCATCCCTTTCTCTAACCTACGGTTGTAAAGTTAAAGACTTGCAACGCGGAACATTTGCAAGGTGCCTGGTCTGCTACTGACTCCTGAATCTTTGTTGTATTACCAGTCATAATATTGTGCATTATATATAAAATTCTGTGATGACCTCCAAACACAGCTGTGTCTTATCCAGGTGAATTTATCCTCTTTCAGGTCAAAGTAAGTTGGGTTTTTTGTCTTGTTTTGTTTTGATGCACCTCGCTGCTACTGTGACCCGCTTTGGAGCTAGCTTAGTGGGGAGAACGGGTTCCATGGTCGAGGTGCGGACCGTAGGTGGGAAGACCATGGGCAGAGTGTGGAAGGTGCCCCCTTGGAGGGAAAGGGTGGGATTCTGAGGCTCGGGGAAGCGCTGCCTGCATCCGGTGATGGGGTAGGTGATGGAGTTGGATGGAGCCGGGCCAGGAGTTGCGGGGGCAGTAGGCATGGGGCTCAGACCCGTCGGGCCTCGGTTGTCCTATTGGTTGAAGGAGAGTGAGACCGCCTGCTTCACGGTGTTGTCCTGAGGCTTAAAAATTAGAGATGCAACTACCAAGAGGTAAAAAA